TAAGAAGTGTCTGTGTGGGTCTGCCTGCGAGTGTGATTGGATAGCAGTTGGATGAGCAGTTGCTTAATATTCTGATTACCTGAAAACTTAAAAACTAATTAGAGTAAATCTACTTCATCAATCACGTGACTGAGTTTTAAATCAGCTGACAGGCTGGAGCGTACTAATTATATTCACGCAAAAATATGCTGATAGATGAAGCAGTTAGATTGGGAAATGAATGGATGGATGGATTGATAGATATAAGGATGAATGCTTGGATCGATGAATGGATAGATGAGTGAATGATGGATAGATGGTTGGATAGATGTTGCATGCATACCTGATGAGGTGATTTGAGAAAATTATTGGAAGATATGTTGTTGGAAAGAAACAAATAAATAAATGTTCATACGAAGCATTTATTTAAAGAACAAATTCAATACGACGAACAATTAAACAAACCACGCACTGGTCGATGAATAAAACACGCCAACAAATAATTTCGGGTTTGGCTGAATGAAGTTTTCAAGAATATCCTGAATAATTAAATTATTTTAAATAATTGTTGACTACTATAAAATAAAAATGACCGACAGATAAATTGTAACATTTAATCATACGGTAAAAAAAAAGAAAAAAAAAAAAGATCAAAATAACACAAAACTGGATGCGGTCAAACGAACAACCTTAAACAAACTATTCAAAACTCCTCTACTGCTCAATTTCATTCCAATCCAATTCAATTCATTTCAATTGAATTCAATTTATTCCATTTATTATTCCATCGTATTGTTTGAAAACTTCCGACAATGCTATCATGCTCATTGAATCAGGATAGATACCTCAGATGATGGCAACCTCAACCATCGTCGTCGTCATCGTCATCGTCGTCAGCACCTCATCAAGTGAGTGAGAATATTTTTCTTGATGATGTTGTTGTGTCTTGTAAAGTTCATCCGGCATTTTGTGATACTTCATATTTGTTGCAATTTTATAATTAAATGATTAATTAATAACCATATGATTAGTTGAATAATTTATTGAAAATAAAAAGTGAAAAATTTGTTGACCAAATTATTCTGCCTCATATTTGTTTGCGTGTGTTTGTGTGTGTTGTGTAATGTGTGTTGTGTAATGTGTGTTGTGTAGTGTGTATTGTGTGTGCATGTGCATGTTTGTTGGTTGATTTTTAAAGGCTTAAATAATATTCGGCTATTCTTATCAAAACTTAGATAAATAAATGAATGGAAAAACAGATGCATATAAATATTTAATAAACTTCCCATTGAAATTACTTCAACTTTTGTCAAGAAATAATAGTGCAAGCAGTGAAAAGCCGAGAATGAAAATGAAATCATGACGGGGTGTGTACAAATAGACACTCTCTAATCCCTTCAAAGTTGTCTTCCCTGAGTTGTTTATGCAATTTTCTGCATCTCCCTTCCTACAGTTAATACTGGACCGCACTTTTTGTGCTGGCCAACTAAAATTATCTGCCACTAATGTATGTTCCACCCCTTTTCATGTTACTTTATATATACCTTATTTTTCAGGCTTAACATGGTTTCAACTTGCTTCGGTTGAATATTTGTAAAAAGTTGTCCAAAGTTGAATAGTATTTTAATTTATATATATGTATATTATTATATATATATAATATTATATGTTAGTATATATATATATATATATATATATATATATATACACACATCATTGGAATAACAAATGGAAGACATAACGGCGGAGTAACTTGATCGCAGGCCAATAAATTTAATTCAGTGGCTTACGCAAAATATTTCCACAAAAAGTTTTTTAAAAGGCTAATTATAATTAATCTAGAAAGTTAGGTTTTCTTTCTACATCAACACTTCTGAATTTTAAGTGTTTAATATTTATTTTGATTTCAGATGGACACGTAGTGCTAACCAGTAAAATATCTTCAATTTCTTTTGAAAGCTAACGAAATAATTGAAAGATCTTGTTTTTGAGACAGATGTCACTCACCATGTTAAAATGGTTGAACAGCAATTTGTGATTAAAAACCTCATTGGATATATATATGATGCAAAGGTCTGGAGCCATTTATTTAATATCTCACATGAGTTTTAGCGATGAGGAAATGGATTTGGAAAAATTTGGTTTAAGACTGTAAGTTTTAAGCTAATATTCATGTTTTTCGCATCAAATTGTGTTTTGAAAAAAACCATTTTAACCCTTTAGATAATGAAAAATTGTCCACACGTGCCAAATCAGTTTAAATTTTGATTCTATTCAACAGCAATGTATTTCAATGTTATATTTTTATGTCTAAAAAACCATTTGTATTTAAACTGAACGACTTTTTGGAACTGTTGAGGGGCCCAGTGACCCTGCTCAATACATTCAACAAAGTCTGAACTTTCATTTAAATCTTTGGGATTTCAATCCTCATCTATATAATGGTTTGTAAACAAATTTGTGAACCAAAATAAAACAAAACATTTATTATTTACTTGAAACGCGAAAATTATTTGAAAAAGTTTAAACTGAAGAGAAACATTTTTTGAAGTCCCAATGAATTCGTCTCTTCTTCGTTGAGCCATCTCACACAACTGCCAAACGTTCGCCCCGGCAGGGTTTGCACGTGGAGGCAGGCGCGCATGTGCTGGAATATATTTGAATACATTCAAACAATATTTATTTGTCCATGTGCTCCGGTGTATTCATTTCAGTGCTTGTGTGTGCGTCTAAATGTGTGTGTGTGCGCGCGCGCGCGTGTGTGTATGTCTTCGTGTGTGTGTGTGTGCGTGTGTGTATATGCGTGTGTGTGTATGCGTGTGTATGTGTGTATGGGTGTGTGTGTATGTGGTAAATAAGTGTAAAACTGATGTTACTGTAGTTTATTTGATGTTTTTTATAATAGATTTCCGTGATAATTTGTATTCCTTTGAAATATAAATACTTCAGCTATTTATATAATGGGTCTGAGTTTTTGTGCTTTCAATGCTAGCTTCCACACTAAGCTTTAATGAGATGTTCTTGGGTTTGAAGCAAGTGCTAATGTTGGCCGGCTTATTACGGAGTTGCTTCGTAGTAGCGAGACTACTTTGAATAATTGATGAGCAGGTCTCATTCATTAGTCCGCTCCGCACATTACCCACCGCCAAACTCAACATTTATTTTTGCTGAAAAATGTAATTGCATGACATAATATTAAGTTATACTATACTAGAATGGAATGATTTGTCGTTTTTATTCTGCAGAAATTATTTTATGTCCTTTGAGTATATCTTGGCAATAACTTATTAATATCATTTTGCGTTTTTGTGTGAATGCGTAGTTTCATCGGAGTCTGCCTGCTGACGATTCTTCAACGGTGAAACTCCTTGGTGAATGCGAAATATGAGATTAACGTGAATTTGATGTTGGCGTCGGATGAAAATAGTCAAAAAATAAACAATAAATTTCCTAGTCTATTTGCCTCCCTCGTCATATTTCATGATAACAAATGGTAGCGGTTTGAAAATGTTTGCAATTTCTCTTTTTCTTATTTTTATTTATTGAAATTAAATGAATGTTTTATAAAGTTTCCATGAAATTTTTTGATTTATTTAAAATTTAATTAAAATTTGAGATTTTATTAAGTTTTAGTTTTTCAATTCTCAACAACTTAAATTTCCTTTCGGAGCAAATTATAAATTCAAGAGAACACAATTTTAACTCCAGCCGCGATCATTTTTCAAATATTTATCCAAGTCTGTAAAAAATAAGCAAAAACCGTTTAAAGCATGAAATTTCACATCAGGAATTGAACTATAGCACTTAAACTTAAACATTTACTGACGCGAACATGTCGGATGGGGTGAGGGTGGACGGTGGTATGAACCAGGGCGAATAGGATGATTTCAGTCTAAATATTCCTCACTGCAAACTACAAATCAGAATGAAATGTGGAATAGAAGAATGCATACTCCACATACCTTTAAATTCCACGTTATTTTAAGGTGGTAAAAAATATAGATGCTATTTATTTTAAATATTACTTTTAAATGGTTGTTTTACTACATTTCTATTGAAACATGATACATGACGTCATCGTCATCATTTAAAATCATGCAGCCTCACATTCATCTTGCCCAGAAAAGTTTTTTTCATTGACCAATTATCTTGCCTACAGTGTCATTAGTTTTTCAATCCTCATAATTATCATTTTTGAGATCATCATTGGAAACATCAACAACCTCATCACCATTATCATCATCATTCATCTTTTATAAACATCATCATCATCATTACACCTGCATCATCGTCATCATCAACATCACCACCATCATCATCATCAACAACAACAACAACAGCATTAACAATAACAACATCCTAAATAACAACAATATAATCATCAACAACAACAACAGCAACAACCAGCAACAACATCATCACGACTTTTCGACATGGCTTGGAGGGGTAGACTGTTACAAAAAATGATAGATGGTAGTGTGCCCAACAGATTTGCTATTTTCATCAAGGCATGGTTGCAACAAAAAACTGCAAGAGTAAAATTTGGTAATGCAGTTACCAAATTAGAAATTTTAAAGCAGGATCACCCCGGGGAGCCTACTATCACCAATATTGTTCCTAGTATATATTAACGACCTGCTTAATAAATTTCAAAAAACGTTTTGTACATGCCCTTGCAAATGACCTTGCCGTAGCCAACAAAACAATTGCAAAAAAAATTATACCAACAATTCAGGAAGAAAATGACAAAGTTTCAAAATGGAATAAGAACAACAGAATGAGGCTTAATACAAATAAATGTAATTCAACTATTTTCACAAATGATGTAAAATACACAATAAGAATGTGATTTCAAAATTGATAACAATTATATTCGATTTGATAGGACCCAACATTCTTTGGAGTAACATACGATAGAATGCTAAATTTTTGTCACCGTGCACACAATAAAATAGACAAAATGGATAAACGAAACAGAATACAGAAGGCTTTAGTTGGAACGGATTGGGGTGGAAAAGGAAATGGCCAATATCAACCTACATAGCGCAACAAAGATGGCCGAGTCCCATATGGAGAAAGTGGAACCACGACAACTCAAATCAGCTAGGATGATAACCAGGGTAACGAAAGTGCACCATAGGAATCAGTTATGATCGAAGCACAGGTAAAGCCCTTGGAAGCCAGGCTAAACAATATTTGGGGGAAAAAACTATCACATGGTTCACGTTGCCTGCAAAAGATATCATGGAAAAAACATCAAAAAAAGACACTACGCTTTGCATCAAAAAAAAGGATTGCTACAAACCAGTGTCTGAACGGATGAACAATGTACAAGAACCATAGGATATTACTACTAATACTAGAAAATGGAAACCCAAGCCTATCAAGACCATATTGGCCAAACGGGAAAAATCTCCTCACCGGAGGAGAAAAAACGAGCAGTTAAAGAGGTAATATCGGAAGTGGAAAAATATGATGTCGTGATATACACTGGTGGTCCAGTAGACCCAGCTACCAAAAAAGGAGCAGCAGCAATGATTGCTTACAAGTGGTCCGACATCATCAATAAAACTTAAGTACATGTGAGGCTAGTGTAGCAGTTATGAAGCAAAAAGAAGAGCAATAGGAATTAGTACAGAATGGCTACAAAGGTATGAAGAATGGGAGACTGCCGCAATAGTGACAGACGGCCTAGCCTTCATAAACATGCTAGGGAGCATTAAAAAGAAGAACCCAAGTAGCATTCAAATATTAAAAAGATAAACAGTCTTGAGGCACATAATAAAATGTGACAGTAGCTTAGATACCAGGACATTGTGGAATTGAGGCAAACGAAGAAGTAGACAAGGCAACAAAAAAAGGCAGATTTTTCCCAAAATTTAACAAGTTAAATACAAGATAGAACACAAATGTTAATAAATCACGTATACAAGTAAAGGCTATACAGTACGATAGATGTAAAAAAGTGTACAATAAAAACCATTATTATATGTGAGGAAAAACTTGATAATGATACAAGAACGGACCTCAGGCGTTTTAGGACTGGTCACCAAATGATTCTTCGGAACTACAGAGCACACATTAAATGAAAACCAATGCAGATTGTGCATGGATGCAGAAGAATCGGCTAAAAATCTGTGAATGGAATGTCTGGCCAAAGGAGAGATAAGGAGCAGGTAAGGTCTTGGTGGACAACTGGGTGAATTGAGTGAGCGCCCGATGGGGATCACAAAGATGGTGGCAGAAATTGTGGAGAGACTAGTGAAAGAATGATCGGTAGATCAACGAGTGACTACAACATCATCATCAACAACAACATCATCTACAACAACAACATCATCATCATCATCAACAACAACATCATCATCAACAACAACATCAACAACACCAACAACATCAACAACACCAACAACAAAAATATCATCATTAACAACATCGACAACAACATCATCATCAACAACAACATCGACAACAACAACAACAACATCAACAACATTCTCCCCTCCATCACATTAGAATGCACTGATTAGAATCAACAGGATAAATTAACTGGGCGATGAATACGATGATAATGGTGCTTAAGCTAGTGATGATGATGAAGATGATGATGATAATAATGCTTAAGCTAGTGATGCTGATGTTGTTGTTGATGATGATGATGTTGATGATGATGATGATGAGGAGGATGATGGTGAGGATGATAAGGATGATGATGATGCTTAAGCTAGTGATTCTGATGTTGTTGATGATGATGATGATGATGAGGATGATGATGAGGAGGAGGAGGAGGAGGAAATGGAGTAATTGAATGTGTAAAGGGGCATGATGTCTGATAAAGCTGCTTGCTCCTGGGAGTTTGGATTAGGAGTGGATTGGTGATGATAATTATGATGGTGGTGGCCGTGATGATGGTGATGATATTGATGATTTTATGCTGATGATGATGTTGATGATTTTATGATGATGAAAATAATTATAATGTTAGTGGTGGTGACGATGTGATGTTGATAAGTCCGTTCAAAACGTTGTTGTTGTTGATGACGATGATGATGATGTTAAATGGAGATGAGGACGCTAATTAATGATCACCAGCTTTATATTACATACGGGTATTTGTAGTCAAACGATTTATTCATTTAATTATTTGTATTAAATCGGATTTCTGTTTGTTACACATTTTTTTGAGGTTCAAAAAATAAAAATTAAATGATGATTTCAACAGTCCTGTTGCGACTGCGGATCCAGGGAGATAGTGCAAGGATGTCTCCCCCATCAGACCGTGAAAGAAGAAAGTAATGAAGTTTCTGAAAATAACTTACTAAGTAAAGTAAACGGAAATCAGCAAAAAATAACCGTCAACCAGGAATTTTGAAAATCATCTCCCCGCAGAAATTGGAGTAATTGGGAATTAAAAGAATCAGCAGGAAATTATGATCCTCAACCTAACAATTTGCAAATCATCCCCATTCCCCACTGCAAAACTTTGAATCCGCCATTGTTTTCTTGATGACGTTTCATTTCGTAATAGCACAATTGATAATTTGAGAGCTCACGACCCGGCTGAATTACAGAAATCCAATCTAAAAAATTATAAATTTCCTGATTGAACTTTTGAAAATGAAACAAAATGCAAAAAAGAAAAAGCAGGACATGCTGAGCTGACTTCAATGGTTTTACTTTGTTTTAATATTGGCTACGAAACCGAATGTTTCAACTATTTTACGAAGGATTTTAATAGGACTGTTAAACTCAATGCTAGTTCCCAAACACAAATATGGCTCTCCAGTAAACCTGGTTCTTAATGGGGATGTACAGGGTTTGACTTTTTCAAATCCATCCAAAACCGTGTTTAGCCGGACACACAAACTACAAGGTGTATTATTGTAGTATCGGATTTGTGTTTTATTGCATTAGACGCTATTATTTGTGACCCTGGCGTCATTAGCTCACAATTTCAATTAAAAATCTCTCTATAGGTTTCTGAGAATTCTGTTATACAGAAATATTTTGTTTGTTTTGATTGATTATGCAGCTCTGATATATGTAGAACTGCTTATATAATATTTTATACTTATAGCTAAACGTTCGTGATATAAAGACCGTACTCTCTCATAAACACATCAATTATACACACGCACACGCGCGCACACACACACACGTATTCCACAGGCACGCGAATGAATTGATGCTTTCCAACGTCGTAATAACTAGAGAGTTTGTTTGAAATAGACTGAGTGAAAGAGTTGGAAGTTCTTTCCAAAAAGTTGCAGGGCCTTTGAACGTGTATCACGCCAGGTTGTTGTCATTCTCGCGCAAACTTCAAACATGTCGATGATGGGGTTTGAGACTTATTTGTTATGTACCCATGCCAGTGGGTTACGAAAAAAATAGCAGAATATTTTTAAACATCACGCACAATACAATGCCAACCATTCTTCATAAACAATTCTGTGGTTCATTCAATCCGCCTCGATTCAATTGCCAAATGTTTTATTGGTTGGTTTTTGGAACTATTGTATTTAGAAAGCAATAACATACAGTTCAGGGGGATGTTTTCAATTCGCAATGCATTCTCTCGTTTGTTTGTTTTCTGTTTATACAAACTTAAACAATGTTGTTAATTTACGAATTAATTACGAAATAATAACATTACACACGCAACACATTTCAACGTAGAAAATTATTTGTAATAACAATGTAAACGAATAGTTGAATGTAAGCTCGAATTTACGAGGAATTTATTTCTTCTTACGAATCTCAAGTTGATGCGTTTCAGTGCGTTATATTTCTCTGCCAGCTGCGCGTGTTCGTGCGTCTGTCGTCCTTCCTGGCGGTACGCGGGCTTCTAGTTATTTGTTTCCACGCATTCTTCTCCCCACGCTTACACACGCGTCACTGCGCTCCTCTGCTTACTTCTTTATCGAACGTGTCTAGTTTGTGCTATTTGTTTTTAGGTAATCAAAAATGGCTGTTTCAAAATAAGTCCAATAATCTATTTAGTATGGAAAGCCACGTTGGTGTTTGGAAACTAACAGTTTGTTTCATCGCTATTATTAAAACTAAACTAAACCAATTAAGTCAGCTCGACGTCTTGCTTTTTCTTTTCTGCATTTTGTTTCATTTTCGAAAGTTCAATCAAGAGCTTCATAGTTTTTCAGATTGAATTTCTGTAATTCGATCAATTCCACAACAAAAACTTTCACGATGATATAAGAAAATTAACAAATAAGCAGGATGTCGCCATGAAAGCCGTCCATTTCATTACAGAAGCTTTAAAAACAACATATTCAAAGTAATAGGCTACATTTTTGAACGTGTGAAACAGTGCATGGATCGTAAATAATACAAATTTAAATTCCAACAACCAATAATTGTCTCACGAACTTCTGAAAAATATTATGAAAATGTTTCTGCATCATACATTCGTGTTCTTACATCACGTGTGCTGAATGTTAGTATAATGGAATTACATTTTATAAACAAGAATCAAACAAGAAAGATGATGATAATGATGATGACGATGATGATAATGGTGGTGGTGGTGATGATAATAAGGAGGAGGAAGAAAAGGTGAAGGAGGATGATGATGAGGAGGATAATGACAATGTTGAGAATAATGAGAAGGAAGTAAAAGAAAGCGTTGATGATGTCGATGATGATGATGATGAAAATGATGATGAAAATGATAATGATGATGATGATTATGTTGAAGATGAGGATGTAAAATTGGATGGAGAAGACAATGATGATTGCCTCATTGCATAATGAAAATGATCATGCTGATGATGAAAAAGAAGATGGTGATGGTGGAAGCAACTTAGATGATGAAGATAATGATATACGTGATGATGTGTTGCGATACGTGTACAGACGTAATGATGTAGTGCACATATCTCGACAGCATGGTGCTGTTGAGATAAGTGCACTAATCTTTGATTTTGAGTTGTTGATTTTGTTGATGTTGTTGATGTTGTTGATTTTGTTGATGTTGTTGATGTTGTTAATTTTGTTGATGTTGTTGATTTTGTTGATGTTGTTGATTTTATTGATGTTGTTGATGTTGTTAATTTTGTTGATGTTGTTGATTTTGTTGATTTTGTTGATTTTGTTGATGTTGTTGATTTTATTGATGTTTTTGATTCGCCGTTCAGCGGATATCCTCTTGCTTTGACCAATTCAATTTGATTTCCATCTCAGTGTATGTTCAGTTTTTACTTCCTCAACGGTTTTCCTCTTCATCAGAGCTTCAAACCATACAATTTTATAACAATATTTTTCTGCAAATAAATCTTCAATATGTCCTGCCTATCTATCAACCTTTCGAGTTTCTGTAAGAACGTTTGCATTTTTGTCTTTTATAACCTTCAACGTGTTCCTCTGTTTTCTTTTTTGTTCTTTTACCGAGTAGTTAATCTCTCTTGCTTTATTTTGTCCAATCAGCGAAGCCATCTCTGGTCCCTGTTAATCATCTATGATCCATCTATCGCCTTTCATCTTTTCTGGCATTTTTTTGTATTTTGCGAATTCTTTTAATTTTACCCCATTTTGGTCATTTTATTTAAAACCTATTTTTTTCTAATCTCATCTTTTCTTACTTTTCCTCAGCTATTCAATGCTTCACGATACTGTTCTTAAATTGCTGGTTTGGAGTGCATGTCTTGCTTCCAGGCTGGATGTAAGTTACCAGTTGTTTCTGGAATATCTTTCATCTTTACAAAACTTTTTCATCATTTGCTGTTTTTTTCTTCCACCCATTCATAGACTATTGTTAATCCCCATAATGTCACTGCACTGCACAGGACAATCATTGCGTTCCACATCTGCACTTTGGAGAGCAAAAGTTTTAGCTTATTTTGACGTTGTTCAAACGAAATGAGATTTACTTTGTAACAACAAAACGAAAATGCAACCAAGACTATACTTGAACACAATTTCGAAACAGAGTCTATTTGATTTATTTAATTTTAAACAGAAAATAATTTACCGTTTTATGGCCGTTAACGACAGGCGACTAACTATATTTTAATTACCCTTCTTTAAATTTTAAGTTAATTTTATGAAGTTTTGGATTAGTACAATTAAAAGAATAATTATATGCTAAAATTTTATGGATATTTTTGCAGTTTGAAAGCAATTCATGAAAAATGTTCTGTTTTCGCCAAATTGATCTCATATAGTTTTTAGTAGTTTAGTAAAGTAGGAAAATATGTGCCAAATCAAATTTAGACTGTTGCCTGCTTTAATTAAGTGCTGGTGTTTACATTTTTGTATCGGTGTCTTTTCAATTGCTCATTCATACGTAACAGTTTTAATTAAATGTCAGTAAGTTGGAAATATGAATGTAAGGTTGCTGCATCATTAATAATCGTTGTAGTTTAAGAATTCTGTTGATGCGAAGGCTTATTTGTTTTCACTCTTTGACGAAACATAAAATTGATGACATTAACAAACAATCATAAGACTATTGAATTAAATCAATAAATAAATTATAAATATAAAATTTCAAGTATGGAAAGTAGTGGACGCGAAAGTTTTTCAAATCGTTGATGGGATGGAATGGTTCTGGCTGATACTGTTCTTGTTGGTGATGCAATCTCGCTTAAGCTATCATAAAATTTTTATTAACTTAACTGTACATGTTGTTAATGTTTTTTTGTTGTTGTTGATTTTGTTGATTTTAATTTTTGTTCATTTGTTGATGCCTTCAATACAATACAATACAACATTACAGAGCCCTGTTTATAATTGTCGGGTTTTAATGTTACGATGTTTAACGTTACTATGTTTAATGTTACGATTGTTAATGTTATGATGTTGTAGCAGCACTGAGTTGTGTCCCATGATGTTTTGTTGTTACAGAGACATATATTTGTTGCAAGAAACATCTTTGAAAATATTTCTTGTAGCTTCGAAATCAAAAATTTAAAATTATCAGACAAATTGATGGCAGATTAATATGATGGAGGTGGTGCTGGTGATTGTGTGGTGAAGTGGATTTGATAAATTGGATGAATGTGATATATGGATGTTTGGTGTGAAAAGATTAAACTCTTCCTCAATTCTCCTCACATGTAACTGAATGTGTACATGTGTGAATGCATTAATGTTTATGTTTGTATGTATGTTTATGCATCTTCATATGGATGTTTATGTGCGTTTGGGTATGTTTAGGCGTGCTTATTTTTACGCTCGGGTCTTAAACAGATTTTTCTAGATTTTTATTGTATTTTTAAGCGAGTAATTTAAATTGTGAGTCTCATGACAGCATTAAACAACGTTCATTCGGTCAGAAGCATAACTCAAACAACAGATACAAACAGCAGATACAAACAACAGATACAAACAGCAGATACAAACAACAGATACAAACAATAGATACAAACAACAGATACAAACAACAGATACAAACAGCAGATACAAACAACAGATACAAACAACAGATACAAACAACAGATACAAACAGCAGATACAAACAACAAATACAAACAACAGGTACAAACAGCAGATACAAACAGCAGATACGAACAACAGATACAAACAACAAATGCATACAACAAATACAAACAACAGATACATACAACAACAGATACAAACAACAATATTTAAAATTTGAAAAATGTAAAAAGTCATAAATTGTGATGGCCTTATCTGATCGTCATTGAAAATCAGCAAACCAGCCAAAGTAGAACGCATTGTGAAGCAAGGTCGACTTGAAATACATCGTTACTAATACCATAGAAAATTATTTTTATATTATTTTTTAATTTTTTTTTATTTATTTTATTAATTATTTTATATTATATTTATTATTGTTTAGATCAGTGCTTCTCAAAATATGACTGAGTGAGAATTTTTTAATTTTGAGTTAGTTACAAAGTTTGAGAAAATTTATATATATTGTTAAATTCTGTTTTACGCTTCCTAAATTATCAATTTTATGTATATATTTTATTTTAATTGTCATAAAAAACTTAAAAACTAATAAACAAATTTGCTTTTAAAATTAACTACGTTGACAAAAAACACTTAAGCACCTGGTTTAGATTGTGGAAGATCACCTCAACGTTGCGAAAAATGTTGTGACATCGGTATTGGCCTTAAAATTTAATGACCTAAATTGCTGCATCATATATACGTCATGTTTTGGCGGGGTTTGATAGATTACGATCACGTGAGGAAATGATTAGGTAGCTCAATTAGAACATGACCTAAACTTAATCCGAAATACGGTAGTGAACATCAGCTGCTGCAACAACAACAACAACATTAAAATAATCATCTTCAAGTTTTTAATTTTTTAAAGTAGGCCATCTGCATCAAGAACATTAACATAAAATTGCTTCCATCGAACTGACTGGCGTTCAATTTGAAATAAACTGCAGAGGAAAGAAAATATTTAATGGAACTTTTCATCCTACCAACAATAAAATTATTATTATCCTTAAATAGAAAGCATTATGCGGTAACATCATTAAAATAATTTATGCTAAGTAATGTCATTTCATTTCCTGCCGTGTCATGTTGGGCTATCAATTATCATCACCATCATCACCACTATCATCATTACCACTAGCACCATCATGGCCACCATCATCATCATCACCGTCATCATCATCATCATCACCGTCATCATCATCATCATCATCCTCACCACCACAGTCAGCCAGGCGAAAGAGTACTGTCAGTTTGAGACGTTCAACGCCAGCTGTCCAGGTGATCAGGTGATCCTGATGACGATGGCCACGTACGGGCGGCTGGCTGTCGGCAGGTGCGTCTCCAGAAATTATGGACACCTCGGCTGCTCCTCTGACGTCATCAACCACCTGGATGAAGCCTGCACAGGTAGGTCAGCACCAAATAAATTTATTTTGTTAATGGATAGAGCCTAGTACACACTTGTAGACATGTTGCGCAATTTTGGTTTCTGAGACGTGACTCGGTACGTCTACATCTAATCTGTCTACATATCGCACGTCTAAAGTTTTTCGATTAAAATTGGAAACTGTTCAATTTTTTATCTTTTTACTTATTTGTGATAAACTTTTTTAAATTTTGTTTTATTTTAATATTTTTTTAACGATGTTAATATTTATTTATACTTTTAAATATTTTCATATATTTTATTCCGTTATTTTCGCCTATATATTGTCAATCTTAATTTATTTTTTACTTTAATCAAAATTAAAAATTATTTGAAAAAGTATTTAAATTTTTGAATATACCTACATTTCTAAAACGAGGAAGTATAATTTTTTAAATGTTTTAGAAATATGTCATTATACTTTTTGTTGGGCTACCAAAACGACAATAAGCAAATAACATTATAGTGTGGACGCTAGACGAGACAAGGAACAACGTCTCGCGGCGCTCTGTAGGACATCGATGTTAAACGGTTCATGAATAAATTGCGCAACACGTCTAGTCTACTAGTGTGTTCTAGGCTTAAAAACACCACGAGCCAATTCATTTCGATCTGACTTGCAAACCAAATAAAAATCAATAATTTGAATTAAACTGAACCCCCCTCGAAGGAAAGTCCACTTGTTTGTATCCTGTACCTCAGCTGAGAAACCTGGTTCAACCATGCCCCACTGATCTCACTGTCTATCTGGAGGCTCACTACGTCTGCGTCTTGAGTGAGTCTATTTGAGGAATGTGTGTGTGTGTGTGTGTGTGTGTGTTTGTGTGTGTGTGTGTGTGGTGATGATGATGATTGTGAAGATGATGATGGTGGTGATGATCATGAGGATGTGTATGTGTGTGGGATGATGATGATGATGAGGAGGAGGAGGAGGATGACGATGATGATGATATCGATGATGATGATGATAATGATGATGATGATGATGATGATGATGATAGTGGTGGTAGTGAAAATGATGATGAAAGTGGTGGTAGTGAAGATGATGATGAGGAGGAGGATGTGGGCATGCTAATGAAAATGACGATTATAAGGAAGAAGAAGATGATGAAAATGATGATGATGATGATGGTCGTTGAATGATCATACATATTGAGCGTTCTTGACTGATTATCATTTGACACCGTAGAAATGCACTCAGTTTGAACAAAGCCCAGCAACGAAGCGGCAGACAGCAGAACTTCTTCACTCAATCTTTTGTTAATAAATTTTTAATTAAATTGAACGAGTAATCATTTGATTCGACCTGAATTTAAATTAATGATGCCGACAAAATAGCATCATGTGACATTTTTTTAGTTTAACCTAGGGTAGTAGTGTTCATGTTGATATGATTAATTAATACATGAATGTGTTTGCATGATGCTAGCAAACGTAATTACGACCATTAAAACAATACATATGTGTGTGTGCGTGTATGTGTGTGAGTGTGTGTGTGTTTGTGCGTATATGTGTTTGTATGTTGTTTGTGTGTGTAATGTGATGTCAAATAATAATAATACATATGTACGTTCCCACAATGTTTGAGATCCTGACGACCCCATATATCACTCAGTCAGGTGATCTCTTTTTGAGCCGCAATTCATCACGTGATTTTGAAATCGTCGAAAGCATTGTTGCGATGCAGCCATCACATCGTCACAGTCCAGAAACATTCGCAACATGGTAACACTCGCAACATGGAAACATTTGCAACATTGAAACACTCGCAACATGGTAACACTCGCAACATGGTAACACTTGCAACATTGAAACACTCGCAACATGGTAACACTCGCAACATGGAAACAATCGCAACATTGAACAACTCGCAAAATGGAAACATTTGCAACATGGAAACATTTGCAACATTGAAAAAATCGCAACATGGTAACACTCGCAACATGTAAGCATTCGCAACATGGAAACATTTGCAACATGGAAACAATCGCAACATTGAAACACTCGCAACATGGTAACACTCGCAACATGGAAACATTTGCAACATTGAAACACTCGCAACATGGTAACACTCGCAACATGTAAGCATTCGCAACATGGAAACATTTGCAACATGGAAACAATGGCAACATTGAAACACTCGCAACATGGAAACATTTGCAACATGGAAACACTCGCAACATGGTAACACTCGCAACATGGAAACATTTGCAACATTGAAACACTCGCAACATGGTAACACTCGCAACATGGAAACATTTGCAACATTGAAACACTCGCAACATGGTAACACTCGCAACATGGAAACACTCGCAACATGGTAACACTCGCAACATGGAAACATTTGCAACATTGAAACACTCGCAACATGGTAACACTTGCAACATTGAAACACTCGCAACATGGTAACACTCGCAACATGGAAACACTCGCAACATTGAACAACTCGCAAAATGGAAACATTTGCAACATTGAAACACTCGCAACATTGAAACACTCGCAACATTGAAACAATTGCAACATGGTAACACTCGCAACATGGAAACATTCGCAACATGGAAACACTTGCAACATTGAAACACCCGCAACATGAAAGCATTCGCAACATGGAAACAATCGCAACATTGAAACACTCGCAACATGGAAACAATCGAAAAATGGAAACACTCGCAACATGGAAACAATCGCAACATTGAAACAATCGCAACAAGGAAACATTCGCAACATAGAAATAATCGCAACATGGAAACAATCGCAACATTGAAACACTCGCAACATTGAAACAATCGCAACATTCAAAAACAATCGCAACATGTAAGCATTCGCAACATTGAAACACTCGCAACATTGAAACATTCGCAACTTGGAAACACTCGCAACATTGAAACACTCGCAACATGGAAACATTCGCAACATAGAAACAATCGCAACATTGAAACACTCGCAACAAAGAAACGTTTGCAACATGGTAACACTCGGTACATTGAAACACTCGCAACATGTAAGCATTCGCAACATGGATTAACTCGCAACATGGAAACATTCGCAACATGGTAACATTCGCAACATAGAAACAATCGCAACCTGGAAACAATCGCAACATGGAAACACTCGCAACATTGAAACATTCGCACCATGAAGCTTCTAGATACTGGACTGAACTGTGACTTGTTACATGTTAGACAAGGACAACTTCAGGAAAAAATGACAGGGAAGAATATTTCAGTGAGAATCAAAAGAAAAGTATGCCAAACAAGCTTCTTCAGACCAATTCGATGTTCGGAGCAAATTCAAGCAACTAAGCAAATATTTACAATCTGAAAATCTACACTAATGGCTCAATAGACTATGCAACAAAAAGAAATGGTGCGCCAGTGACTGTTTATAATAAAGATGGTCTGGCACACAAAAAAACATTTGTAGGTAAATGAGGTAGCAGTATGGATACCAAAATAAGGGCAATGAAAATGGCATTGGAGTGGCTTGATACCTCTAACAAGAGGACGGAAACAATCGTACTAACAGAGAGTATGGCCATGGTTGACGTGATGGAAGGTGTGAAGAATGACGATGGAGAAAGTATAAGGAAAAACAACTTCAGCATAACAGATGCAAGTAGGTTTTGCCCGTTCCAATTAGCAAAAAAGAAAAGGAAATGGACAAAGAAACAAGATTTCGATTCGGACATCACATGTCCCTCAGAAGCTATGAAGCGAGGATGGGCCTTACAGACGACGATAGAGGTCGAGGATGTGGAGAGGGAGTTGAAAGAGTACCACACTTATGGCTGGAGTGCCAAACGCTGAAGATGGAGAGACACACATGTGGTCTGGAGAAAGATTGGCAGAACTTACAAAAAGGCTAATGGAAGCGGCAAAGCTGGTGGAAGCAATACTTGGAAGGCTAGATGGCCTATGAGCAACTACTACCACTACTACTACTATTACTACTACTACTACTACTACTACTACTAATACAGCAACAACAATAAGGACACAGCCTGTTAACCATCAGACAGGGTTTATAGTTTACGAGCGGATTAACTCGCATAAACTGCCAGCAATTATGCTCCAGTTTGAAGATTCTTTTGGGAAAGTTGAAAATTTTGTTTAAATCTAATTTATGTTAACTGAAGTAGAAAAAAATGCATCCTGCCGTGAGCAAAATAAAGCAAGCAGGCAGGCTGGCAAGTAAGAGACCCTGCCCGGAAAGAAATCATTTTTCTTATTAATTAGCACGGATTAACTGCATGCATGCAAAGAAAGAAACAAGACGTCAAGATACGTAACTACCAGCATTAAAATAATTAATGGTTATGTGGCAGCCACAAACGCTTCAAAACGTCAGAAACATAACAAGGGGAATGACACAACAACAACATCATTTTAGTACCAAACGCTATATGATAACAACGACAACAAAAGACACGTTTTAACGACAACATCAACAATACAACAGCAATATTGCAATAAAAACCTAACAACAATATATCAACAACAGAAGCAATAGCACTACAACAACAGCCAACATCAACACACTCAACAATGAAAATGATCCAACCCTTATCATCATATGCAGTGGAGTGTGTGTACATACACTCCACGCACACAAACAGTGTCACACGCACACAAACAATTTCACACGCACACAAACAGTGTCACACGTACACAAACAATCACATCGTCACACGTACACAAGTAGGTAGGTGTAGAGCAAGCTAGTGTGTATGTGAACATGCTACTCGTGAATAACAGCATAAATTTTTTTTAATAGAATTACATAACCCAATAAAGAATCGCTGACTTTGACTATATTTACAATTAGAGCACATTTACGCTGTTTACTGCTTTGTTACTTCAATGAGGCTGATCATGGTGACGACAACGACGACGATGGTGTTGGTGGTGGTAGTAGCGGTGGTTGTGGTGAATGTGGTAGTAGTGGTGATTGTAGTAGTAGTGGTGGTTGTGGTGGTGGTGGTGATTGCAGTAGTGGTGATTGTTGTGGTGGTGATTGTGGTGGTAGTATGGTTGTAGTGGTGATTGTGGTAGTAGTGGTGATTGTGGTGGTGGTGGTGATGTTGATGGTAGTAATGACGAAGATGATGATGAGGAGGGTAATAACGATGATGAGGACCATGACGACGACGACGATGATTAACGACCTTACATCTCATGCTTTAAAATGAGATTTCCTCTTCTGCTTTTTTTTGTGATTTATTTGCATTGTTGTTAGTTTCATCCAAACAAAAAATATTTGTGTACGTTTTGGTTTTCTATACGTTGGTTGTTGTTGTTTTGTCTAAATTGTTGTTAGTATGGTTGCTTTTGTTTCAATGGTTGGTGTTATTGTTGTTGTTTTGTTTTAAATGTTGCTAGCGT